CTACTTGCGGAAGCGGTGACGCCAATACCCTCGCCGCTGCCAAGACCGCCTTTGCAGCTGACACGTCCGCGTGGTTGGCTGCATTCAACAGCTAGTGGTGCACACTTAGTACCCGTGCTTTCCTTTAGGCTATGCATACAAACATTATTAGGAGTGTATGTTTATATAACACGCAGATGGTCTACACCGACGACTCCAATGCAAAATACCCTATTATTCTTTGCTGGTACTATTGTTGCTGCTGTTCGTCCGGAAAACTAGGGTTAGGTTCATAACTAGGGTTCGGGTTTTAGCAAGTAAATTCAATCGTGTTTTCGTACTAAGTTATTGATCGCTGTGAACTGCGACATAAGGGACATGCGTTGCGGACTCTGCCACCCGACAAAGTCGAGCACATGCACCTCGAGGTCCGTCGCACTGGTCGCATCTGCCCATGACGCGTCGTCGTCATCGGCGTCATCCCCATTCTCATCGTCGTCATCTTCTACTTGGGTTCGAGTACAGTGGGGGGATTGGCTACGGTCACAGACAATGTGTCCACTTTGAAAACGACATACTTTGTCAGACACAACGTACGCGACAGCTTCATTGCGCGGCGGCACTCGAACTATGCGTCGTGGCCGGTACCCTAACCTCCACCTCAGAAATCATTTCAATTTGTGTCAAGCCACCTGAGGGCGGCGCCGGCGGACGCTTGATGAACGTGACGTATTCCATGTGGTCGACGTCGACGCCGTACATGGCGCTCCAGTGCTCGAGCTTGCGCTTGAGCGCGGCGGGCACGGCCGTAATAGCGTGACCCGCGCCGGGCGACAAGAGCATCTCGACGCTCTTGCCGTTGATCGACGAATGCGACTCTTGGCGGCACTTGAGCTTGTTTGCAATGTCATGGAGCTTGTTGACTTTCTGCACGAGGGGGCTGGCGGACGAGTGTCGCTTGGGAAGCGCCGGGATCGCCTTGGGCTTCTCGGGCGCCTTGATAGGCGTCATGTCGAGCGTCCGGCGCGTCGTCGAGGCCGCAAAATCCATCTTGATGGCCTGAAAGTACGACGGATCGTTGAAGAGCATCTTCCACCTGCAGATGTCGGCGATTCCATCTATCCCATTGCGCGAGAATGTACCGTTCGTGGCACTGCCGCCCGCTCTTGTGCGGAAAGTGCGAGCCGATTTCGTTCCAGTTCTTCGTGCCGAGGCCGTACACAAGCGCCAACAGCTTCTTGTCGTCCTACACAATGCTAGCTGGAAGATGCTTCTTACGGCGGTCGCGTTCGCACCTCTGGCGGCCAGTAGCTTTTGCCACTTGTCGCGGCGCTCTACATAGACCGAGTCAATGCTATCCAAGGCTCGCTTGGATCGTCGCCTACGTGTTGCTTCTCATGCTTGGCCATGGTCCTATTTGGTGTCATCATGAGGCGCAGGCCAGAGCAATCGCGTCGTCCGACCTCGCCGTCGTTTTGCGCTCGCTGGGCCCACACACGCCGGGTGGCGGCCAGTTTTCCTTGTCGGCGCCTATCACTGCGCATGTTCGCCGTCCGGTGCTGTAGATAGATAGATAGATAGGGGTGGCGGCCAGTTTTCCTTGTCGGCGCCTATCACTGCGCATGTTCGCCGTCCGGTGCTGGACCATCGCGGCCTCGTACCCCGCGCCTGCATGTCCATGGCCACGGCTTCTGCTCGCCGTCGCAACGTCCAAAATGGCACTCCGTCTTTTTATTTACCCCGTCCATACAAACCCCAAGCTTGGATTTGCGGGCTCGGTGCTGGATACGGGCTCGTTTATCCGAACGATGGCGCGAAATTCAAAATCAGCTGGCCCGTCCCGCCCTTGCGGCGCGACTTGGCGCGCAAGCGGGCTCCTTACACCTTGTAGAAGGCCCAGATGGCTACACGAGTCCATCACGGCCGCTTTGCGGCCTTGGCGGTAAA